TATATATATATATATATATATATATATATATATATATATATATATATATATATATATATATATATATATGTATTATTGCGTATATATGGCAAAAATGCTTGAGCGGTTTGGGTTTAAAGACGATATTCATAACTTCTTTATAAAGGCTACATTTTGAAATTTATAATAGACATAAATTATAGATTTCCAGTACTGGTAGTAAATTTTGGAACGTAGTTAAAATAGAAAAAAATATTTCTGTGAAGAATAATTGTAAACAGAAAAGAGCATAGAAATATTCAACTAATCAAAAATCACTAAAAATCACTTCAACAACCTATCTTTTTCTTTTCGTGCCCGGCTTCTATGCATTGCAGTAAGCCTTCCAGTATGTATATAGTTCACTGGTTCAACGCACAAAGAAATCCGTAAGCTTAACATGTTAAGGTGCCTTTATATGGGAGTATCGAGCGTCGAGCGTTAAAGCGGTAGCCAATCAACGTACCACTTTCTGCAAGAACTACAATTATACTTTTGGAACCTGATACGTTAATTGGCTAACTCTTTAACACTCGACGCTCGGATGCTCCTATTTAAAAGTACCATTACGGATGTTTTTGTGCGGAGACTACGGGTGCGTTCGGGGAGCTATTAACGTTACCCTGTTCTTCTATCTTTATCGCTCCTTAGATATATAACAACGATAGAATGACGCTGTAGCGCTGAATAGCACTAATAGCGAGCTCCCAGAACGCACCTTATGTCACGCGGTCCACTCATCAGTGATGAGACAAGAATAGCACGATTGGACATCTGCCCTTTTCTAACTTACTATAACTGGTTGTACGGAAATACAACAGACACGAACCAGGCGCATTTTATCGTTACCACTGCGAAAATGCGCATAACGAGTGTAGTAAAGGCGGACTTTGTTAGATGGCGTCTCGAAAATGCGCCTAGCTCTGGCCATTGAAATCAGGGTACCTATTATGGACTTCTTCGGAATCAATTCCAATCAGAATAATTCCGTTTCCCCTAGAAAAGACAATAGAAATCTACTGAATGAACTGAATAACTGTTCCCGATCGGAATTGATTCCGAAGAAGTCCATAATAGGCATATATGTAATACTACTATATTGCTAATCACCCTATGCTGCCTATAAGAGGAGCTTGTCCCAGAATGGAAGGATAGATGATGTCCGAGGAGTGTATTTTAACCGTTGTGCGCAGGCGCGGCGATCAGATGATGATATATATATATATATATATATATATATATATATATATATTATATAAAGTAAAAGTGCCAGTGTGTGATATGTACTTAATCTGGATAGCTGTTTCCTTATCCGTGTAAACGTGTGATATTTTCATTTGCAGCTGCTTTTTTTCGTATAAATAGCATTTCCGGGTGCTCATGTTTATAGCATATGGTATATATAACCTATTACATGCAACTGAGTGTACAATATATTTTATTTTTCTATTGGCGGATACGATCTATCTGATACATGCGCATAACGTTCATAATACACTCAGAGAGAAATATATATTCTCACACCGTGGTTCTGGGGATCAGACTTCTCTCTCCATTAACAATATAGTAGTATTACATATATGATAATAAGTACTCAGGCTGGTGGTCGCTCTTATGCTTCTCTTTGCTATTATTTTTCAATATTAGAATAAAATAGAAACAATTAGGTAATCAGTAATTAAAGTAGATATTTCCTTTAAGATTAAGTTTAAGGAATTACTTTAATAATATATTTTATTATAACTGTGTTGTGCAATGAAACTAAAGTTCATAAACCAAGGCGTTTAATACACGTTTATGACGACTAACTTTTAGTGTTTGTATATAAAACATTGTTTTACGACATAACAAGTTTTTCTTCCTAAAAAAAGCGTAAAACATTTAACTCAAATGTAACGAAGCGTTGAGGCTTCTTTCCACGGTGCTCATTGGTTTCCTCTTTGCCGCGGCGTGATTTGCTTTACGCGTGTCGTTCACGATTGTCAAATTATTATGTGAATTTTGACAGCTGAGCTTTGTGAGTTTAGTGTTCGGAATATCTTAGAGGTGTGTGCTTAATTGATTGCAAGTGTTATTTTGTGAATATATCTTTCTATTTCGACGTATTTTGCAAGAATTTTTAGCATGCGTTTTCTCACTTCTGACGTCATTAAAAAGAGATTAACGGTGCGAATACCCAGAGGCTTTAAAGCGCTCCAGAGTTTGTGTTCTAACATTAAAAAATAAGAGAAAGTAAAGGAATTTACGTTACAAAGCAATGTTTTATACACAAATATCTGTTGATTAAATTAAGTGAGGGAAATAACACTGTGCAAACCAGTACGATACTTTTCCCAGAGATTTTTATTCAGCTTTATTTATACAATATAGAAATTTAATGACAGAAGGAGATCTTGACTGCAATTAGATGGACTTGCAAGCTTATGCAAATCCAAATTATGTTTGTACAGTAGACGAACAGAGTTCTTATAAATTAGTCTTTTAGAAAGGTTTGCCGATACTGAGATCTCCGCTCGCTAAGTACAATACGTAAAAGGCATCCTACACCCAATAGTATGAATACAATCGCGTATGTAAATGTTAATAAGGAGCTGATTATTAATAATTGCCGACATAAACTGCATTTTCGTTCGTTTTTTTTTTTTATATAACATTATAACATATATTTTTATTATTACTCCTCGTGTATATGTATTTATATATACAAGTACATATACATAAATACATACATTTATCTTTCATTTATATATATCATATATATATAATATATATAATATTTATAGAAAATTATACTAGCTACATTAATATATACATAAAAAGGCAAATGTGAAATACCTGAACATTTCTCATTTTTTTATTTTATAAAAATATGTGTTTTTATATTACGTTCGTTTGTATTTCAACGAATGCTATTCCTTAATATTGTAGCATTACAGCTTGTCGCAGTAAATGTATTCACATACTTGCATTATTTTCTATATTATTATATCAGCATGCACATATACTGACATTACGTCAGTACACGTGTACGCCAATATATTGTATTAATATATATTACAAGGTGTCGCTTGCGTGATTTGCTTGAACAGAGTGAAATTTTAAAGTATCCGTTTAAGCAGCACTCTACATGGAACACAAAATGGTTCAGAGATTAGTTACTGCAAGTTCGCTGTATCCCACCGAATGTCTCAATCATTTGCCTTTTGTTTACGTTGCACCCTACTTCACCGTCAGTTAAATGCAATTACACAATTTTGCATTATACATTCACGACACTATCGCTTTCGGAACTGTAAGCGCTTCAAAAACGATACATATTCTCTAAGTTCATAACGCAACAAGGATTATTTAATAGTACATATGCGCGCGCGTGTTTTCATGTCCGTCTCGTTTCGTGTCGACACGCGCGCGATTTATTTGCTCGATATCTCGCCAGCTCCGTTTTTGCTCGGGGCGAGCTATAAGAGTCATAAGTGTGTCATAATTTTGGTAATTAAGTATACTTCTAGCAATAATTGCAATCGATCGATTGAAATCATTGGATAGGTACGTTTCAATGGAATCGTCGCACTCCTATATATATCTATATATATGAGAGCTATATATATCTATGTATATATATATATAAATATATATATATATATATATATATATCGTATTCGTAGATAGAAACAATTACATCGAAACGCGATGAAAAACCTTTCTCTTTCTATCTTTCTTTCTTTCTTTCTTTCTTTTTTTCTTCCTCCCTCTCTCTCTCTCTCTCTCTCTCTCTCTCTCTCTCAAATATAAAAAAAACAAAAAACAAAATAGTATAATGAGCCTTGTAAATTTATAATAGTGTATCACTGCACGTGTATATTAGAGCTACACGTTTACGTATATGCATTTCACAAGTTAACAAGCATATTTTACGTGTGAAGCAGAAAGAGTAGTATCGGAATAAGAGATTGATTTAGAATTGCTTCAATTACGGTGACACAACAGTTCTCATGCGTTGTTCAACGATACAATATCCGCGTTTAAGTCATCTATGTGTCGATAATTGGAAACTTTCCCTGAACATTGCAGAACCCAATAGTGATCGGTCTCGCCAGACGTAAAAAGCTTGCGAAAAATTTATTCTATTACCGTCTTACAATAAATATATAATACGTATTGTTACGTAAGGCCGGTGTATAAACTCAAAATATGTCAAAAGTTCTCTTCATGTAACTCAAAGTTAAAAACATTTCCAAGTGCTCTCGGCTTTATCCGCTTACTCGCAATTTATCGACGAGAGTCAAAGGAGATACATTACGAGTGATAACATCATTACTTAACTACGTGATACAAAAGTCTTATAATGAAAATGAAAGGGAAATCAAGTGTGATAGTTCGAAAAACATAGTGGTCCACGAGTAACTGAAAACACAAGTGGTCCACAAGTAACTGAAAACTGTAGTATCACCTTGAAACAAAAAAAAATAAGGGAAAGAAAGAAACCATCATTGGGACGTTACAAATACGATCCTACTTTTTCCTTCCTTCTTTTTCCACTAAAATTCCTCTAAATATATTAAAAAATTTAGTTGCCAGGAATCGCATAGCAGCGACTCGTATATGTAGTACTCTCGACGAATTTTCGTTGTTTATTCGGACACAGTGTGCAGCACGTCAAGTGTATCCAGACATCTCTTCCATCTAACAAATGTTATGCGTGATAAATCTGGTATGCGTACGATCCTTGCGCCCGGCCATTGCTTGGGCAAATATTCGCGAATGTAGCATGACGATTCCGAGTGTGTATATTCGTAAATGTATCGATGTATACTTTATTATACGCTCAACACTGTCCCCGGCACTGCGTTCGTTTTCCACTGCGTTTTGGACGCACGTGCTCCGTCCAAAGATGACACAAGTTCTCCGATTACCAATCACATTAGTGTATGATCCTTTGACAGTTTCATTCCTTGTGTTCAGAATCGGGTTTCGTCTTCGGCTCCATTGAGGATTGCCGTGACTGATGAGGATTCGTTTGATTTCTGCGAACCAGTAGAATATTGCCATCCACAGATTGTTGAAGGCTGTACTCGTACGGATGATACAGATTACCGTCTGGATCTCGTAGAGACTGAAAGGTAAACATTAATTATCGTTACAGTCTTTTTCCTTGCGTGCGTGACTTTTAACAGCGTTTTCGCTGGAAAATAATAAATTACAAGATAAACTATCTCTCGAGTAAGGAAAGTCGAATCGATCGTCACGAGAGAACTACATGCAGGTTTGAATTTTGCTTGAAGAGAATAAATACATTTAGATGATTGAGAGAATTGAGAGGACATCAACCTGGAAAATATGACGGTAGAGTTGGCTAAACTTGTCCTTCACTCGCTGTATCTCCAAGCGCATGCTTTCGCGATCGCGTATAAGCAGCATCTTGCGATCTCGCATTCCCTTCACTTCGTCGGCTAGACTTAGGATTTGATCCAATTTGCGTTTGCGACAATTCTGCGCGGCGACCTTATTCTTGCCGCGTCTTCTAATGTCGCGTATTAGGGATAATTGGGCCTCGCTAAGATCGTATTTACTGAGACGTTCGTTAAACTCGTCCATGGGAAGGTTGATGATGTCACTGACTGCGATCGGCACGCTCAACGCTCTTGCTCTCTTCTCGTCTCTCGTTAGATGTTCGTCCGCTTCGCTCTTACGAACTGAAATTTGCGTAAATTACCAACGTGAGCACATACGAAGTATTGATATATTTTTCTTCGAGCCGTTGAGCGCTAAATTCCGAAGGATATGCGGAGAAATTTACCTTTCTTGTCACGCGTAATAGGACGCTGAAGAGATCCCGAACTCTCGGCGGGCAGATGATAGGTATGATTGTGATGAACATGTTCTATTGCAGATCGCCCTGAAAGCGAGAAAGAAATTGAATTTTAAACTGACACGAAGTCTCTCATTGGTCACACTTGTTCCTTGAACTTTATCGCGAACTCGAAGTGAATGTCTTCACGCAAACTTCTCTTACCGGATTGATGACGACTAAAGTCCACGCTACAACTGTACTTCATTTCTGGCTGCGGGCCGGCTGCGCCCTCGATCGGTCCAGAATATGCGTTGCCCGGCGCGCCCGCGCCGACTGTATGCGTGTCATATTCATATTTCATCGGAGTGATCGGGTGTGCGGTAGCGCCCAAAGGTGAGCCTGCAAAGCCGTTTCGCAATTAAGATTCTCCGCGCCGCGTCACCATCCCGCGGCGGTGACATCACCGCGGGGAGGTCATATATCACTTCTAAATACTAACAAGTGCCTTGCTCCTGGAAGTATCGCTTGGCGAACATTTGATGTTTCTTCTGTGCGACCGGCGCGACGGTCCGTTCCGTTTGACATCTCGGGGAGCCGCCGGCATTCCTCGCGGAGACCGAGTAGCTGCAGTCGTACGGCATGCGATACTTGCTGTAATGCAAATAGTATTTAAACGGATCGTCAATAAACGTCGCAGTGAACGTCGTGTGTTTGCGCGCGCGCGCGCGCGCGTGGAATTCTACACATTCGTGACCATCGACATTATGAAAATAAAGCGAGCAACATTTATTCCGTGCCTCGAAGACAAAGAGACCATTGTGCTTTTGAAAACTGAACACGGCCTTTCTACACGCACACGTCGTCGTCATTTATATCTCGGAACAAGATTATTTATGATTCATTAAGGAGGAAGGGGGAGGACGGGGGGAGCGAGGGGGGGAGGGCAGGGACGGACAACATGTACCGTGCGTCGCGATCGTGTCGTTTTGTTCGCGATCTCTCTAAAGAGTCGGCGTTTCGGGCATTAATCACCTCGCGTAATCCATACTGTAATGAGAGTCGGCTTGCGTATGGCTGGAATTGGATCCAGTTTCCATCCACTCGCCGTCCGAGAGAGACGGTACGCGCTCGCTGCCCATACTACTGACTGCGCTGTCGCTCGAAGCGTCCATCCTTTCGTCGGCTACAGCAGGTAGAGTCGTGACACCGGTAGCCGTCGAAGCTGCGCCGCCGGCTGTTTGCACACTCGGTAGAGCGGTCGCACCGGTAGTGGGCCCTGATGCATTGTTGTTACCATTATCCAGCATGCGCATGGTATACATGCCTGAAAGAATAAAAAAAAAAAGAGACACATAAGTATGTATACATTAATGTAATTTTACACTTGTGTGTATTTTCAATGTAAATAATACAAAGAGAGAGAGAACATCTGAAATCTCATGCGACGAGACATTTTCGCGCGTCTGTCGACTAATTCTACTCACGCAATCGACTTTGCCTCTTTAATTTGCGGAAATATATCGAGTCAATGACGTGAACAATTATATCGTTACTCCGCGATTTATTGGAGCACATGGGCGATTTATATCTTCGTCTCGTCTATTGCAAATCCGCATATTGAGTAGGAATCAATTAATAAGTTATAATGATGCCAAATGCATGTAAATATCTTGCGACTGAGGTAATGTATCGCATCGAAATCGTGTGCGAAATCAACGATTCTCGTTATCGTTCGATACTTTCAGGCGATGCGTAATGTTTTCGCGTCCTACCGATATAATCGCCGATATATGCTCTCCTTATCTCGTGCGAATGTAGCTCTGTGTCCACAATCCTAAAAGTGTATTTGCAAAACACGCATCTCGAAGTAGGCCGTCGTCTACATTTCGCGCGAAAACTCCTCGAGGACACGACATGTTCCCCTCGCGAGCGTCGTGTGTGTATCTCTGTGTTTGCACGAAGTTTAACGCGGCAGCAAGAAACTTTTCAGCGAGGAACGCGAACGCGATTTCCGATACGCGGCTATTCGGACCTTTCGATACGGCAAACACTTCTTCGCAAACATGACATTTGCCACAACCGGTTTTTGCACTGACGACTGTTTACAACGCGGCGCAAGCTTGGCGATTAGCAATGCGCAATGCGCGGTGCAATAGTCTTCGTTTGATGCAAAAATGAAGAAAACGAGAGATTTATCGTCCGCTAGCTCTTGCGCGCATTTACCATACTCGGTTAGATTAAGAAAAATCGTTTCCCGATGCAATAACTCGCGTGTCTTTCTGTTTTTTTTTTTATCGATATCATGCTAATTTCTTCTTTTTTTATTTCGACATGAGAATTTAATGTTTAGTGCACGTTGGAGTAATACATCTCATCCATACATCTCAAAGAAACTCGATAATCTAAAGCAATCGAAAGAACAGATTATCATTGATTAAACACGCCTATTAATATCCATTGCATTTAAAATCCCCTGATTGCGCAGAGATAAGACTCGTGAAGCGGGCAAACATGAGGAACATGAGAAAAATACACGTTCGGGTCTCGTTATCAGTGTATTATCATCGTTGCAACCGATATCACGTGACTAGATCCCCGAGACGCAGTCGCGCATCGCCGTCGTACTCCTCATTGGCCTATTAACTTCTGAGTTATCTTCAAGCGGACAAACGATCTGCCGCGAACTACAACACGGATAAATAGATTTCCGTCAGTTCCATTGACGATTATCCTCCGATCGACTTGACGTCGCTCTGTCTGGCGATCTTGAGATCGCATCGATACGTTCGTCATGACGTTCGGGCAGCAAACTGTTTTCCAAGCGTCTGCTCGCACTTGCGAGACGAGACGATTGTGCGCAATTAAGACGCACTGTGTGTTTACGATTGCTCGTGGGAACGAGTGTTTTTTTCGCGAAATAAGCATAAAAGCCGATAATCGCGGGATGGCCGCCCTAGCTTTATCTTATTTTCCTCGGCAGAATGTATAAGCATCTCCCTCGTACAATACACACTCGCAGCACTCAACCGTTATCGTGCGCGATTGAATTTGCCAATGAATAAAAGTCACGACAAATTAACGTACTATTGGAGCAATGTAACGCGACGCTCATAATGAAGAGCGTCTGAGAAGCTCTTCTCTCCCGCTTTCTCATTAATATGCATAATAAAGTTGCCTCGCGATCAACATCAGATTCAATGTAATCGAACAAAATCGTACCATACGTGATAAATCCCAGGCTTCCGTCCTTATTAGTAATCAGTTTCGAAAGAGGAAGCGCGCCGCGTCCGTTTAAACTCGCTCCTGCACATTATGCGGTTAATAACGTGTTTCGCGCTCACGTCCGTCTCTAAGACCTGTATTGATAGTTTTTACTTGAAACTTGTCTCAAATAGAGACAACTAAACCTCTGTATTAATAGTCGTTATTTAAAACTTCTCTCAAGTGAAACACTCAAATTTGAGTCCAGAGTTAGATGAGAGATTTTTAGTTGAAATTGCAGACATAATGTCACAAATAACATATAATTCAACTGAAAAACTCGGATTTGATTCTGACTATCTCACGTGAGACCGACTTCAAGTAACGACTATTAATATTAAATATACTCTTAGACATAAATTAACAGATGAGAGTTTTTTAGTTGAATCGCAGCTATAGATATGTAAATGTCACGTATATTTTAAATCATCTGAAAAACTTGGATCTATTATTAATAAATAAAAACTTATTTGGATAATACGAGTTTTAGACTCATTAATAGCCATTCTTTGAAATTTGTCTTATAAAAGATATTCAGGTTTTAATTTAGAGTGAGACATGAGGTTCCAGCTGAATTGCGATTACAAACGTAATGTCGCATATATTAAATGATTTATGTAAAAAAATCAAATCTAACTCTACATTCAGACTTGAGTTTCTCACGTGGAACAAGTTTCAAATAACAATTATTGATACGAAGTTAGGGGCCGTCTCAAGTGAGATACTCAACTTGAATTTAGAGTTAGATAAGAGTTTAGAGAGTGAGATAAATCTCACGTGTGTATCATCATTCAATTGAAAAATCTAACTCTGAATAAGAATCTATCTAATAAGAACCAAATTTCAGGTTATCACTATTAGCACGAGCTTTAGGGAGAGTAGAAGAGCAGAAAGTAGAAAAGTAGAAACTATCGATTATTACCTAACTATCAACGCGGGTTTTGATTGGCTTCTGCCTTTCCGTTCTCCGCTTTTCTGCCAACGTGTGAGTTCTTCTTCAGAGTACGTTTCAATAAACGATAGAAAATGAGTGTTCGCGACCTCGCGATTAGAAATCGGCGTGAACTCTTGGCTTGTCCCGTGTCAGATTATTTGAAGAAAAAAAAGAAAAGAAAAATTAAACGGACCTGACCTCAACATATTCATTGGAACTTTGCGGTTTAATATAGGAGGAATGTTAATATTCTACGCCACGGATTAAGAAATTCTTAGCACAGTACATCCTTATCGCGCTTCCAGAGCGAGCGTTCGAAAGAGATACCACATTTCCGTCTATCTGAAATAATGTGATAAGCTGCTTCTTAGAAGCGCGCGCACAATACCGGGAGGACTTGTCGGTCTTTGCAATTTTCTTCTGCCCCACGTTTTATCCTCGTCCTGCCCGCTGAGAGAATCTCCCTAACGCATCCTCGTGTCCGCATTCATTACGAGCGACGTTACAGTCACGGCTCCTCGTCAATAGCTTACGTTCGCGAATACCTCGCACAGTTCGTAAGCTGAAGCTCGGTAATTTTACTTCCTCGGCACTCAGCGAACGGTCTCGGCCGGCGTGTGAGGAAAACAAGAACGCGATTTCAATTTCGTTATACGCGTTCTTCGCGCAACGTCGCGTAAAACCTATTACGTTGGACGTACCGAGCGCGCGCGTGCGAGGAGAGTTATAAAACCGCGTCTCTCGCGTAATTCTTATTCAATCCGTATAACGCGGCGCGGCGACGCGCAGACGCGTGTATGCATCAGGTACCGAATTATCATGACTCAGCATGACACCGAAGATACTGTTATCACGTTGTCGAGTCGTAGCAGTTGCCCGAACGCGTCAGCTCGAGCGCGCTGAATTCGACGTTGGGGCCTTATGTAACGCTTATTTTTGTTCGAGCAAAAGCCACACTCTAATTTAATTGCACGACCGAGATGATCTCGCTTGGTGGGGCGCGCGCGCGCGCGCGCGCGCCACGATTGAATCTCCGATCTCTCCGAGCTGTCATTGTGGATCTCGGCGAGACGTATCGCGACAACGACGGTGACGATGACGTGCGATCGGACTATGTGTAAATATGCGTGCGCAGCAACGTGTCCGATATCGCCATCGCGCTCTCTCTTTCACGGGACGCCGATCGGGAGACGCACTTTTTCTCCGTCCGCTTTCTGGTCGTGCGAGTCAGGGTCGATAAACACGCGACCATCGCGAAATGGAAATTCGAATGACGCTGCATTTTTCCCGGTTCATTTCCACCGGCCGGATATTGCGTCGCGTCGCGCTGCGGCGCAGATAAGCGGCGGGGAAATACGTGAAATGCGTGTCGAAAGTCAATATCTTTCTCTTTCTGCCCGATTTCCTTATCGCGACGACACGTCCGATTATTCTTTCCGTTTTGCAACAGCTACTCGACCCAATCGACGTGTAAGAGACGGCGAGGACGGCTGTGCGCTCTTTCCGCGAACGAGCGCGTCGCGAGGAATGCGAAATTACCTACTTGGAATATATACGATAACTCCCATCGTCGCCATTCAAGCTCATCGAAGAGCCCCGCGTTCTCGCATAAGATCCCCCGGCTGAAAAGAATCTTCCTCCTTCTCCTCCTCTTCGCTGCGACGAGATAATTACGTCAACGATCACGTTATCCCGATCCTCGTGCGATATTAAGGCAGCGTCATCGGGTAGAGCAAAGTTCTCTCGTCGTGAAAACAGCTCGTCGCGCACTCACTACAAGTCCGGGCTACCTTCACCGCGGCTGGTCGGAGCACGGTGGCGGCGACGACGCATAGCGTCGGAAAAGCGCGGAAAAGTTCGAAGGGCCACCTTCTGCGCGTCTCTCGGCGACGCGCGGCAAGTGTTTGGCGTCTACGCCAGATGTTCCTTTCTCTCTTTCACAATAACCATTGAGGATACGCCAGCTCTGGCTCTCACGTTGGCGTGTATGAAATCGCGGCGGGCTAATGGCATGCTCCACGTGCCACGGCTGACAAAATCAACAATGTGGCACCTGCGAGGTCCACTCCTGGGAGGTTACGGCGACGCGTCCGCACTTTTCCTCGACGCGAAATCGCGCGCGACAGCGT